TATTCAGCTGCCTGGCCTCCTGTGGAACGCCCCCCCCACACCCCCGCTTATCCCATAATGGCAGTTGCTACAGTACATTCTACCACTCTTTTCAAGTCAAGGACACACTGTATGTGTATTGGGGGGGGCGTGCAGGCTCAGAGGTGGAAGCTCTAGGTCTGATTCTGACACTGCAGGATTCTCTCTGGGCCACATAGCCCAGCTCCTGCTCTTAGAAGTATGAGTTCACTTATAACACTCCACTTTCCACGTCTGTCCTCCATGTATCAAATGAGGAGCTGTACTCACACAGCATACCCCCTTTCTAGCTCTAAAACAAATTTTTTTAATCCTGAGAAAGTATACATCCTTATATGTTTGATTTATTTAGTTTGGTATTCCTCTGGAAACACAAATCCATCATGAGAAAGTAGAAATATATTTCCTCAGACCATCTCTGTGATTCTGAACATTGAGGTCCTAGTGTGATGGTATTTAGAGATGGGGCTTTGGGGAAGTGATTAGTATTGGATGAGATCATGAGAGTGGAGCCCTCAGGATGGGATTAGTGCCTTTCTGAGAAGAGATAGCAGAGAGCTTGCCATCTCTCTCTCTTGCTCCACGAGCACACGTGAGGAAAGGTCATGTGAGGACACAGAGAGAGAAGGTGGCCACCAAAACTGAATGGGCCCACACCTTGCTTGGACTTCCTAGCCTCCAAACTGTGAGAAGTAGACGTGTGTTGTTAAAGCCACCCAGTCTGCATGGTATTTTGACCTGGCAGCCTGAGCAGATGAAGACAGCAGGCATTCCCTAGAAGAGTCTTAATGGGCCTTGGAAGTCTTCATGCTGAGAGAAGACCCAGAGAGAGAGAAGCAGGCTTCCCACTGAGCAGGGAGCCTGATGCAGGGCTCGATCCCAGGATCCTAGGATCATAACCTGAGCCAAAAGCAGTCACTTAACCAACTGAGCCACCCAGGTGTCCCTAGACTTTAAAGTATTGTAAATAAATACACAGAAGGTAGCCATGGGGGATGAATGACCACCTCCGGTCTTCTTTGGAAGCAGGAAGGATAAGAGCTATAAAAGTATATCAGTCAGAGTTAAACAAGGAAATAGATATTTCTAGCAACAAAACCAATTACCAGGCATGTTCCTTTCAGCACTGTAATGATTTTCATGGTCCAGCTTTTAGCTCCACTGGAAATGACAATGCAGCTGTCACCCTGAACATCATACACCATAAGTGGCATCGTATGTATTCTCATTCTTTCAGAACCAACTCAAATGTCATCTCTTCTGTAGCTTTTCTAAATGTCATTTGAAAATGACATTTGTATACTTTTGCATTTCATGGCCCCCATACAGAATGTATCCCTCGTATTTCAGGGCTCCCACTATAAACCACTTTTACTTCAGTGAGGCACTTACCACATCATATGACAGGAAGTTGGGGGTCCTTTCTGTCCTGCTGGACATTGAACTCTCTGAGGGCAAAGCCACAGGTGTAGAAGCTACTCAATAAAAGAATGAATGAATGAATGAATGCTCCTTTGTGCACAGCTCATTCCTCAGGTATCCCAGGTTCCTAGAGGGTCTGACTTGGCTATCAGACTGTGATAGTCTCTGCCCCCCTCTGTCTCCGATACTATCAATAGTAGTTCAACATTGCCATTTTGGGGTTTTGGCCACAGAATAATGAGACATGGGAGTTACTAGGATGCAGAGCCAAAAAGCTCCAAAGGTTGCATGTGAAGATCCAGCATTTTAATAATATTGTCCCAACAATTGTTCTGTCCATATTTTAAAGATCTCTTGCTCTGTATTTGTTCTGAAATCATTGGCACTTCAGAGCTGCCAGAAGTCCACTACAGAAACATGGACTATTATGTGACCTAATTTAGAAGGTGTGCCTTCCTATTTACTAGGAGAGTAACTCTCTCATAGTTTATGGCTTTGACCGATTCCTTTTCAATAAGATAAAACTAAGGACTTCTATAACAATTCAAATGTTAAATTCAGTTAAATATGAGAAAACTGTCTTCAGGATAGATTCTGTACCACAACTTGTCATCAGCTATGGTGTCTACTGTGTGCCAGAATGAAGAAGTAAGCAATTTTCCCCCGAATGCCTGAATGCCTCCAAATACGTCTCTTTCCCCATCCTCTGGGCTGGAATCTAACCCATGTTTCATTCCTTATGAATTTTGTAATGGTTGGCCATTTCTTGGATGCTATCTCCAAGGAAATATCCTCAGAATATGGAGAGTTAAAGAGTTGAAGACCTAACATGACATCAGGCATAGGTATGTGTTGTGGTAGAATGACAGAGAGTGAAGTTGGCTTTGAAAGCAAGGTTCCTGTGCTCATGTAACACCAGGCAGGCATCCATTCCCAAGGTGGCTCTGGTGGATATGGCCATACTAAGTGAGATGTAGAAGAGAATAGAGAGATTCTGGAGTATTTTTGGATAAACTTCTTAAGTTAATCCATCCTCCCTCCTTCCCTCCTTTCCTTCCTTATTTCCTTCATTCTTTCCCTCCACAAGGATTTACTGAGCACTTACCATGATCTAGGCACTGTCCTAGGCTTGGGGGGAAACATTAATGATTAAGACCAGGTCCCTGTGCCATCATGGAGCTTACATTCTGATAGAAGAGAGAGATAACAAGTCAATAAATAGTAATGTGATTTCAGGAAGAAACTTCTTTTTTATGAAAAAAAAATGAGCAAAGGATATGGTGGTTCCTCAAGAAATCAAAAATAGAATTACCATATGATCCACTACTTCTTTTTCTGGATATAAACCCAAAAGAACTGAAGGCAGGGTCTCAAATGTATACGTGTACACTCAGACTCATAGCATTATTCATAGTCGCCAAAAGGTAGCAACAACCCTTGCTACCTTCTACCTTGATGGTAGAAGTCCATCAGTGAATGAATGGATGAATACAATGTGGCTTATGTGTATAAAAGTCTATTATTCAGCCTTAAAAGGAAGGAAATTCTGACACATGTTACAGTATAGATGAACCTTGAAGACATTATGTTAAGTGAAATAACCCATTCACAAAAGGACAATTATAATATGACTCTACTTACATGCATTACCTAAAGTAGTCAAATCCACAGAGACAAAAAGTGTAATAGTGGTTTCCACCGAATAAAGGAGAGTTACTGTTATTTAATGGTATAGAGTTTCAGTTTGGGAAGATGAGAAGGTTCTAGAGATGGGTTAGTGGTGATGGCACTGAATGCCACTGAGCTTAAAAATGGTTAAAATGGGGCATCTGGGTGGCACAGCCAGTTAGGCCTCCAACTCTTGGTTTTGGCTCAGGTCATGATTTCAGGGTTGTGAGATGGAGCCCTAACCAAGCCCAGCATTAGGCTCCATGCTCAGCGTGGAGTCTGCTTGAGACTCTCTCTCCCTCTCCCTCTACACCTTCTCCCCAACCCCGCACTTCCTCTCTCTCTTCCAAAGAAATAAACCGGTTTTAAAATGGTTAAAATGATAAATGTTACTTGCACTTTAACAATTAAAAAAAATCATCTTTTAAAAACGAAACAAGGAGCTGGAGTGGGAACGATTTCAGTTGGGATCATCTGGGAAGGCTCCTCTGAGAAGGAGGTGACATTTGAGCAGAGACCAACCTGAATGATGAGGAGAGCACAGAGTGACATAGGGGATTAGTTTGGAATTTTGTTCTAAGTGCAGCAGAATGGCTTTGGAGGGTTTTGACCAATTAAAGAACATGCTCTGATATACCACTAAAAGATCATACCAGCTGCTCTGTGAAAAGAAACTGAAAGGGAGAAAATCCAAAGGGCAGAAGACCCATGAAGAGATTATGGCAGTTGTCTCGGCAAGTGTCTGGTGGCTCAGGTGATCTTGAGATGATGGGGAGGTGGAGAAAAGTGGTTGGGTTGGGATGTATTTTCAAGGTGTAGAGTCATCCTGATTCACCAATGGATATGATATGGGGTGGGAGGTAAAGGGGTGCATTAAGGGTGATGTCTCCATTTTTAACTGAGCAACTGACTGAAAGAAGGTGCCAACCACTCAATGGAAATGACTAGAGGAAAAGCTCGTTGGGGGATGGTGAGGGGCATGGGGACTCAATCAGAAGGTGGTTTACATAAAAAGTGAAATAAAAATTCAAGACTGGGTGAGTGACAGCATTCAGTGATAGAAGCCATTTATTAAGTACTTGAGTAAATGAAAGAATTAGTTAATTAAACAGAATATGTAAATGGAAGGAGGGAGGACGGAAGGAAGGAAGAACAGAAACTAATTCTAAATGTTACAAAACGTGAAGGGGAAACATTTTGCAAAATGATATGATTGTAAAGACCCCAGGCTAGAATTTGAGAGAACTACGTTCCAGTCCCAGATAATAGTTCCAAAACATATTTCCTACCGTCAGGTTTTCTTCCAGGACTTCCTGCCTTTCCCCCTTCACAGAGAATGTGTTCACATCTTGACTCAACCCATCAGCAAGCCCACAGCCCTAGTATCCCTGTGCATAAACACACAAAAAGCCCGTACACACACACACACACACACACACACACACACACACAGAGCAGAGCTCACAACCTCTGGGCCAGGGAACAGCCAACCCAGGAGCTCCTCTGGCTCTGCACTCACCAACCCCAGATCCCCCACCGTCAGCGCAGGTACGGGGGTACACCCCCCCCACAAGCAATCCAGAAAATTCCCGGTGAAGGTCAGTTCCCCAGTTAAGGGCACAGTTTCAAGCAAGCAGGGGACAAGATGAGCTCCTTCCATGTATTGGCTACACGTGTGTTGAAGGGCCCAAGGTCTCCCTGGGCCTTCAGGCTGGTTCCCACTGAGAGACACAGCGGGAGGAGGGAGCAGGGAGTGGGAAGAAAAGAGGCACAGGTCACCTTCCCAGCTGGGAGGGCATAGCGCAAAGCGAGAGAGGCCTGTGAAAGTGCCCGGGCGCAGCCGGCCCCCAGGCGTGCGCGCGCTAACCGCGTCTGTGCTGGCTCTTCCACAGGACTGCGGGTGCAGAGCCTGCCGTCGTCGGCCCCCTTCCCCGCGTCTCTTCCGGCCAACGCTCTCCCGTCCACGGCCGGCTGGACCAGCGCGCCCCGCAGCCCTCCTGCCTCCCCGACCAGCGGCGCCCCCGGCCACGCGGTCCTCTCGGCTCCGGCCTCGACGCCGGCGCCCACACGCCCCAGGAACGTTTCCGCAGAGCCGGGAGAAGCGGGCCCGAGCAGCCCAGCCTCTCCCTGGGGAGGCCCGAGCTCTGCAGCCTCCCCCGCCAGCGGCGGGGCGCCCTTAACACCCACTCCTTCGGAGCGCAGCCCGAGCACTCCCGAGGAGCCAAGCGCTCCCCCGACGGGGTCCCGGGCCCCCTCCGAGGCCCCCGCTGGGTCTCCCACGCTCGCCTCCCCTCAGGCTCCGGCCTCCTCGCCCCCACCCCTGTCGACCTCTCCAGCCACGGAGGTTTCGTCCGCCTCCCCCACCAGCGCCAATCACAGCTCTGCGGAAACCAGCCCCGAGCCCACGGGAGCCCCGACCCCACCGGGATCCCCGACCCCACCGGGATCCCCAACCCCACCAGGGTCCCCGACGGAAGAGCAGAGCTCTGCGCACACACCCACTTCCCATGCCACAGCCCGGCCAGGGCCCGCGGACACGACGCCCCAAGCCACGGCGCCGGCCAAAGTGACCTGTCTGATGGTGGACATGGAGACCACCGCCTCCCCGGGCGTGATCATGCAGGAAGTGGAGCACGCGCTCAGTTCAGGTGAGTCCGGTCCCGGAACCCCGAGGTGCGAAGAAAGCAGCCCCATTAACCCCGCGCCCTTGACCTCGGTTTGAATCATGGGGGGCCAAGCCGGAGGTCCATCCGCAAGAACTTCCAGAGAGGGGCCAACGTGGCTTTCAGTCCCTTGGTTAATTCCCACATGCTGTCTCATTGATTGCCTCGGGTCCTTACGATTCCACTTCACATATGTCACCGACAACGTCAGCAGGAGAGACGGCATCAACAGAGGGGCGATCTGTGTGGCTTTTGGCCCAGCTTCCTGGGTTTAAAACTGGCGCCTGCCCTTGGGCAAGTGACTTCATCTTTCTGTGCCGTTACTGTTCTTCGTCTGTAAAATGGGAACGAAATAGGTTCTGTCGGACGTGATTCTTGCGGGGCTTGAGTGAGAGGACCTGTGAAATACTTAGAACAGTTCCCAGGGGGGAGGGAGCACTCAGGAAAGGTCAGTTACTAGAATTTTGCTTGGTGTATTAACGGAGTGCTTACCTCAGGGAAACCAGTCAAGCCAAGTAGGATGGGGGCTGGGGGTAGAGAACTGGCTTATTCTTTACAGTCACTGATAAATTTCATGAGAAAGACAATAAATTTTACAGGCCATTGCATTTGTTTTAATTCTCCCAGCGGTCCTCTGAAGTCAGTATGATTCTTATCTTGGTTTTGCAATCTTGGACATCATGGTGGAGAGAGATTTAGGGTCTCTTCTGAGGTCACATGCCTCTGGCATTGACGTAAAGATGGTCAACTTCAGGGTATTGAGCAGGAAAAGGCCTTAGTGGGAGTGTTTGGCCTCTCCAGTGAGAAACAGTGATGCGGGAACAGCCAGAAGGTAAAGGGGGAAACGGAGCTACGGCCCCTTCCCTGGGGAATGCTCAGAACACAGCCACACGACTAGCTGGGGTCGGAGGCACGGCATGGCTGTGACTGAGGAGAAATGAACATCTTTTAACAATCAGTAAGGAACCTGCATGAACAGAAGCTCCCGTAGACAGTAGAAGTGGAGAGAGAGGGCTGAGATGAGCAAGACCTGATTCCTCGGGGAAGAGCTCACAGTTTACTGGGAGATAAAGTCCCAAAGAAGTGGGTATTCTTATTTCAAAGGCCCAGTATATCACTGACAGTCCCAACGAGAGAGAGAGAGAGATCCAGTCACACTGAGATAAAGGAATTAATCACAAAGGTCTTGGCTGGGGTCTGGGGGAACAAGAGGGGAGCATAATAATAGAACCGTTATGAGTCAGGCCTAGGAGGAGGGAACAATCACCAGGACCCAGAAGGAGAGTCTTGTGGAACAGACTACCTTGACAGAAGCAGTGACTTTTGGCTGAGACACCGCTAACCCAAGGTTCATCTCCTGGGAGTGAAAGAAGTAAATCTTCCACTCTCCCTGTCTCCCTTCCCTCTGCTATGCAGCCAGGAGCCAAGAACAGGGAAAGCCACAGTGTTGTCCGTCCAGCTCAGCCCCGCGGAGGCCTCATCAGAAGGTTGGAGAGGGGCACAGCCAGTTCGAATGTTGATTTCCTCTGTGCAGACCCCAAACCCACTAGCACCCTGTTTACACGTCCAGCCAACACTCATCCCACAGCATTTAGATGTGCACTTTCCACACCAAGCCCACACCCCCAGCTGCTGCCTGCTACTCACCATGGTCCCAATGTGCAGGGACCATCTTAGCATGGACACGGTTCCTGGAACAGGGTGGGTATGGACTGGACCTGGTATCTTAAGGCATCTTAAGGACTGTCCCTAGCAAAGGGTCCAGCAAGATACAGGCTCGAAGAGGTTCCGATCTCTTCTCTCTGTCCCAGAGATCTCTTCCAGATCTCTGTCCAGATCTCTTCCGTGTCCCAGGGCAGCCCTCCCTGCCACCCCACCGTGACATAGTTTCTTCAATTTTCCAGCTGATTTCCCTTTCTCCACTTGCTTCCCCTCCGGGATAGTCCATACATGGTAGATTCACATTCCTGAGCACAGACTCTGAGCTTGGAAGCAAGATTCTCCATAATCTGACACTACCTGCTACTTCCTGCAAGCACCCTCCTTCCACGGGCCGGGTTAGCGAAGGCAGTCCAGTCCCAGCATTCTGGCCTGTGTTGTAGAACCTGTGTCTTGATTTCCTTAAATATGAGCCAGCAGGGTCAAGAAGCACAAAATCAGTGACGGACCTGGGTCATGAGCCGTGATATAGTTCTAGGGGGTACCGCATCCAGGGAACCTCAGGGTGAATTAAGGAAGGATTGAGGGACTGACTCGAGAAGAGATCTGCGGGTAGGCTGCAGAGAGATCGGTCCAGGGTACATTTCATAGATCAAAAAGGATTCATCCACTGACCTAGTAAATCAAAAGATATTTACTCTGCATCTACCGGTACCCTGTGCTCGAGGCAAAGAAGGAGAAGACCAGCCTTTGAGATTTCATCGCTTCAGTAGAGAGAAAGGGCACAAGTAACTCCTCATACCACTAGCATGACCACATTAGTTTCTAATCTGAGAAGGAACTGGAGTGGGCACAAGGATCTTTGAGCAGATGGGATACAATCTGCTCATTTCAAAGGTGAGGAAATTATGCCACACAAGTTTGGAGTACCTCGCCCAAGGTCACACCGCCCAGTGGCAGAACTGGGCATAGAGCCCAGATCCCGGAAACCACAAACAAGCCTTCTTTCACCCGGCGGGGATCGCTGAGCTGCTCCTTCCCCAGCCCCTCCGGCCAGCAGCACCCAGAGCCGGTGCTGACAGATTACCATTGGGGGGTGTTCTCATTTAGAGATCCTTGAGCTGCCTTCCGTAGTGTCGATAATTATACCACACTTCGTTTAGCGTTTTTGTCTTATTCTTGATGGAGTTCACATGGCATATTCTTATTCATCCAAGGACTCGTCCACTCAACAGATACCCAGACATGGTCACCAGTGAATAATGCTAAAACCAGGTGAATGTCATGGCAGGGCGACATGACTAGGGGCCGAGGGAAGGTTCCATGATGGAGGGAGCCCATGAGCTGAGTCCAAGGAAGGGAAGGGAATTTGGACCTAAAGAGAGACAGGGCCAGGGAGATTCAGGGAACTGATGGCAAAGTAGCTGAGAACCCACCCAGCACTGCAGGCACCAGAACTGGTCTTGCAGAGGGGCCCAGTGCCCTCCACAGCTGCCGTTTGTTTCAATGTAACTAAAGATGTGTGTATCCAGCTGTCAACCAACATGGCTCGTTGTCATCTGCTGTGGTTCGTAGTCATCTGTAGTCATCTCGCACTGAATATGTGAATGGTGAGTTCCTGATTTCCACATCTGGAACTGCTCCTCCCTCGCCTTCCAGAAACCCTGGGCTAGTCCTGGGCTCCTTCTTTCCTCACAGATTCCTCGTGCAGATCATCAGAGCCCAGGCTCCTCTCAGCCCTCTCCCTCTTCTCACCAGTATGACTTTAGTAGTCCTATCACGGATCCCCACTAGCTCTCCCTTGCCAGAGAGATCCTTTCAACACTGAGGACAGACCCTGTTGCTCCATCGCTTCCCCTCCAGAAGTACGGCCAAAGCCAAGTTTGTGTCACACCTGCAGTGCTCCCACGGTCTAACCCATGCAGTGTCTGCTCTCCTCTCCTTTTCCACTTTCACCTGCAAGCACGGGGGAAACCTTACTGTTTCTGGGACACACTAAAGACAATCTTGCGTCGGGTCTTTTGTATTTGCTGTTCCCTCTGCCTGAAATATTTTCCCTCAAGGTCTTCAGTGGCTCACTCCTTTTCACCCGCCGAGACTTTGTTGATGTCCATCCCCACAGTGAGCCTTTCCCCTTACGTCTTTGTGAAATCGTCTTCCCGTCACTGCTGCTTCCGTCACCCTGACTTATTTTCCTTATGAGTACTTACCCCTTCTGACTTTATCTCATTTATTTAGCAAGTGGGTGTCTGTTTTCTGCCACTGGACTGTCAGCGCCATGAAAGCAAGGAATTTGTTCACAAAGAGGAGGATGCAGGTTACATCCCGGATCCCTAGAACAGAGCCTGATACATAGGAGACCCTTAGTAACGTTTGCTGAATATGTGAACCAAAGAGTCAGTCAACCAGTAGCAGAGGTTGTAACCTCTCTGAGCATTGGTCATCTCATTGGTAAGGTCAGATAAGGACAGTATCCCCATGACGGGATTACTGTAAGTTTTAATTAAGAAATTTACAGCTTAACAGCTATTGACTAATGGCTCAGTCAGTATCTACGATTGTTATTGCACTGTGATTTATCCTCCTCATCATCATCATGATTTGCATTTTACTATTTTTACTGTTATTTTTGTTGTTGTATTTATCATAACGAAGAATGCCCACCGTCTTCAACAAACTTCTACTGAGCTTTGGCTGTGAGGCTGGGTACGAGGGGTTCGGCCATGAATAAGGCATCACTGTCCTCGCAGAGCCTACAAGGTAGCATGTGCCCAGCATGGCAAGTAGCCTAGGTTAGCTAATCCCAGAACTGCACCGAAGGGGAACTTGTAGAGGCAAGAAACAAGGTTTTAGGACAAGTGTTAGAGGACCTGAGTAACAGGAGGAGGTGGTTTACTTTACTTGCCAGACCATAGAGAGTCATCACAAGTTTCCACAGAGAGAAGAAAATGCTGAGAACTGTATTTTAAAGATATTCCTGGGCAGGAATAGGTATGGTAAGTTGCAAGGTGTTCGGTACCAGAAACAAAGACCAGTTTCTACCCGGTTTCCAGTTTCCCATTGTCACTGATAGACCATGTCACTTCATTACTCTGGCTTTAAGGGCTCTTAACTATAAACCAAATACAAGAAGGGTAGTCTTCCTGGCTTCTCATGCCAGGAAATTGTGTAATACAATTATCCTATGCTGAAGAAACGAGATTCATATTCATATGAGTCTCAGAATATACGTGTTCTGAGAGTCCAGCTAGCAATGGACACAGGGAAGACCCTGGGTGATCCCCAGAACATTCCAGTTAAGTGATCTTGATGGTATCTGTTCTGCC